CCCCTCCCCTCCCAAGATCACTCAGAAGAGTAACAATCAATGTACAAGATACAACTTAAGATTCCCAGTGTAATGGTTAACTCAGAAGTCAACAAGGGTATGTATACGTATACGTACAAAACAACAATAACGTAAAGACACGTGAACCCCCTCCTGTAACTAACTCACACAGGAACAAACAAACAAACAAAACTCAGGAACAACCAAACAAACAAAAGCACACACCCCCTCTCCCCCCAAAAAAGGAAAAAAAAATCTTTCAAAATCAAACAATGAGCACAAGGGACAGTTACGGAGTTTACTTAAACAATCTCCCACATCACTGCTAGTGCTAGTGCTAGTGCTAATGCTCAGTCAGCTCAACTCCTGTACTTGTACACACTGAAGAAGCATGTATAGAGAACCAACAGACCTAGCCGGAGATGTTGGAATAAGGTGGTACATCACATCAGGATTTCAACACAAGATTTACTTTACTTCTTTACCAGAGACCACTGCAAAACCTCAAGTCAAAAAAAAACCCAACACTTTTTCTCTGGCTCTTCCTAGGCTACATTTCAAGCAGTAGTTCATGTAATAATGAATGTAATAGTAATAGTAATGCCTAACAACATGGTGAACTGAAACACATGCACACAGTAGTAGTAGTAGTACAGTCGTCGGGTCTTCAAAAATGCCCTACCACACGCCAGACATGAGACAGACAGACAGACAGACAGACCCGTGTTCTGCCCAGGGAGAAAACACTGAACACCACAACACGGCCACTAGAGTACTAGGTAAGACGACGACGGCGACGGCAAAATAAACGAAGGGCAGGGGAGGGGGGGCAGGGCGTTAAAACCGAATGGAAAAAGCATCCAAGAATGTGACAATACACGTGTATATATAGGGATAGCTATCCTGTCTGGCTGGCTGGCTGGCACAATATGCATGATGTACACCTGAAGCCATCATTTTCGTATAGATAACGCTTACAACCCAACCGACCCAATCTAGATCGCTGCCATGAGGCCAGTGGCTCTGACTGAGACTTTGTGGAGGATGCCGCTTGTTGCACGCCAACATTGGCAGGTCCTACTTCTTTTTTTCCCTCTTATTTCTGTCTGTCTGTCTGTCTGTCTGTCTGTCTGTCTGTCTGTCTTGCTTCTTCCCTGCACAATAAGATCGTTATTGTGTTGTTTCGATTTGTTTCTCTTTACTTAAAAAAAACTTGTGTAGGATGCACCCCGCTCCACATAAAGACAAAAGACGCTCCATAAATTTAATAAAAATATGTTCCCCCCCAAAAAGCAATTGAACTAACACGCCTTTTGTACACAAAGGGAAGAGCCTAGTCCTAACCTCAACACCCATAAGCCACGACACCAGGACACAAGAGCTGACATATATAAGTGACATCATGAAGTCTATGACACACAGCGAAACAGGGTCCAGTCCAACCCCCCC